TTACACTTAAGAACTTAATTTTAGTCACATCGAAAAGTTTAAAACTTAACCAAAGATAGTCTTGGTAGGGCACAGCTGCTCATTGAAGTGGCACACTGTCAGTGGCATTCTTGCCACCTGCCAAAGAAAAAGTATTGAATGGATGCGTATTTGATGAAACTTCGAATTTTTCGATTGGTATATTGAATTCCATGGGCTGTTGTTTTGATGTTCTACCAAGTATTTATGTCCATCAAAACGTAAATGAAACCAAACATGCATCAGCAGATCCTAATTTTGGGCTTCAGAAATAACTGGGTAAACAAATATAGCTGAAGAAGAAGTTTCTGTTTCCGCGATTTTCACCCGTGTAAACACACAACAAATGATTGCATTACTACGAATACAGCTACAGTTACACAGCAAGTGTTGGGAAGTTTCTTAACTTTGTATTATGCCAATCTTTCGATGGTCTAACAACGACTGGAACAAACAAATTGTATTTGTGGGTTTAATTAGGCCAACATTACTTAAATTTTTTAAAAATATTTTGACCGCTCAGAAACGAGACGTGACTGGGCTACAATTACTTTGGCTGGTCAACATGACCAGCCACAGTCGGAAAATTGTTTTGAGCCCTGGTAGCAGTAGACTGTAATTTTACTTTTAACTTTTCCTGGGTAAAGTACAGATGGGCAAGGGTTCCATTTAGTCTTACAAGGAGTGGAGATATTTTTAAGAGAAATGAACATGGTCTTCAATAGGCTGGATGGACCAAGTGGTACTGCAGATGGCACACGGCTCATCTTTATATATTATTTATGAGGCAAAACATGACTGATGCATAATTCTTAGCAGCAATGCCTCTTGATTCCTGGTAAGCTCTACCCACAGGACTCATGGAAACCGAAGTGTCTCTTATACGCAGAAGTAAAATCTGCAGCTGGCAAGGTATATCAAAGCACACTGATAGCCAACCATGCCACTCCACCAAACAGCCGAAAAAAGCACTACACCCTTACAGTGTGCCCAGTTTTGCATGGCAGAAGCTTGGATGTAATTTGCTTGACTACCATGGTGCTCAATACCTTCTAGTTGCACACTACTACTGCAAATACCCTGTCTTGAAGAAGCTGAAGTCAACGAAATCTGCTTGTATAGTCAATCCCCTTTAGTCAATCTTTGCGGAACTTGTGATACCAGAGCATTTTCAATTGTTACTGACAGTGGACCTTGAAATAGCAGTAGAGAGTTTACTGCATGCTACGAACAGTGAAGTATTAGTCACATTACCAGTTCTCCTCCATGTCTAAAACGCAACAGATTCATGGAGTGGATTGCAAAGACAGAAAAGAACTTGTGAAAGAAGTCAGGAATTGCAGGACAAGACACAATTTATCTTGCACTTCTACTGTATCAAACCACACCTATTGACAGCGACCTTCCCTTGCCAGCTAAGCTACCTAAGAGATTGCATGCAACTATGTTGCAGTGAAAGAAGAACACTGACAAGATGCCCAGAAACAGCAGTATAACAGGAAGATCCCATGTGAACTCTACTAACTAGTACCAGGTCAGGAGGTGTCTGTGTCCCAATAATATTGCCAACCAAGACCTTGGTTCAAGCAGAAGTAAGAGAAGAAACTAGCAGCCATGGTCATTTGTAGTAAAGATGGCTGGTGGTAATTCAGAGCTAAGATGTAACAGAGTGCAACTGAAACATTTGGGCTTAAAGCAACAGTGTCATGGCTGGGCATGTGCTAGGTTGAGAGAATTTTTTGAACACTCCATCTTGAATTTTGCACTGGCATGTTATTCACGGCAATATACTCAAAAATTCCCTTTGGAATAACAGCGATTCTTTACTTCTCGGTCCCAATTTTGCTTTTTCTCCAAGATATTTTACTGTAGTTTTTGTTTTTTAATAACATGGACAGTGAAGCCGGAGAAGATGCCACTACGGTAAGTTTCATTCGAGCTTCTTATAAACTTGACAAATTTTACTTGTGAGTTTTTTCGTTTTTGATGTAAAAGGCAACCATAACTTACAACAAATGTAATATACCTTGCAGGAAAGCCATGTCTCTTGCTCATGCAAGAGTACATGCCCTACAAAAAGGTCAAGAGAAACTAATCGAGGTTGTCCTTGCAAAGGTGAAGGTGTTACTTGTGGTGAATGATGCACATGTGGTTCGACAGCAAAGCCTTGCAAAAACAAGGTACTGTGGATTTCTGGTGCCTGTATGAATTATTGGTATGAGTAAATTACCACTCTAAAGAATAATTGTAACCTATTTCGTGTGTCTATTTTTTAGCATGTTGGCTTGTTGGTTGTACTAGTATGCTGCATGGTAACTCACCTTCCTGTGCAAACTGTTTGCCAATTGAAAACCAGTTGTATTCATAGCTGAATTGTTTTTGTGACCCGTTATTTTTAGGTATTTCATTTTTATCGAAATGCACCCACTATTTTATTTCGACTGGTTTACAGTAGAACTGGATTCTGTAAATGTATTGAGCA